ACATGCACCTTTATAACACTAAAATGTTGATTTATTCGCTCGTGCCACATATAATGTTAATAACCATTGTGATGCCCGTATTTATTTGTATGTGTGTTTATCAAAAACCTGGAAACTTGAGTTGATGTAACCCAAGTTTCCTTCGGGATATTAAAATGTCATCTTATCTCCTTCCCTGTCTGCGGAGAAGTGCAAAGGTTACTTTAAATTGATAGCATGTATGTCGCCATTTTGGTTTATTGAAGATTAACACCACGTTGTTGCAGAAACGAAACATACACATCATGGGCGTGAAATGTTAAAGCTAATTTATTACAGCATTAAGATTTACTTCAAACTGATCCTTATGTTTGTAGCCGGGCTGGTGTTTATGATCCGGCTCGGGCCGTTGGGATACACATACACAGGCAGATGATGATAATGTGTTTATTACAATGGGGGTGGCTGCTGTTGAACTATCTGAAGAAAATAGAATAAATAGATAGAATATAGATATTAATTTCTGACAGAAGCAAATGAAAACAGATTGAAAAGTGGCCATTCTATACCTGGAGAAAAGAAAATATCCTTCCTCCTCAACAGCAGCACATGAAGTTAGGAGGAAGTCAGGTATGGAAGGAAGCTACCTGTAGGGGACCAGGGTGGCCAATTATAAAACAGATTGCATTAAGCATCAAAGGAAGTGCATATGCAAGATATAAATAGACTGAGGGAAACCCTACAGGTGTGAAAAAATGTCTAAAGATAGACAGAAGGTTGAAGGGGAAGATCTGGTGAGAGATTCCCAGAGACTGAAAATAAGGGTGTTGAGTAGTTTAAAGAGTTATTTACTGACATGCAACTGTAGACAAGACAAACAATGAACATATAGATGATTATGATGATGATGTATGAATAATGATGTAACAAGGAAGAATATGATAAAGGTACCCTGCTACATGTAGGTATGCTGGTAATTAACTGTCATTATAAACCCATCATCTAATAAACCTATGTATGTACATGTAGGTAAGTTTCATGGCTCAGTCACACATGCACCAAATATTTACTGATTCGAATGGCAGGCGTTCTGACATCTATTTAGTACTATGCATGAATTTCTGTGTTGCATCATGGTCACCCGTGAAGATCCGAGTTAGAACAATAAAAATATATAATATAAATAATAAATAATAACTGTTCTTCATCAATCCATGCTTGTCGTAAGAGGCGACTAACGGGATCGAGTGGTCAGGTTCGCTGACTTGGTTGCAGTCGTGAGCGACTCAGGGACTTGCAACTCTCTGTTATCGCGGTATGATTATCAAGTGGTATGATACGTGTGGTTCACATCACCTCCTGTTTTGGATTGTGCATAATCATTATGCACATGACCTAGGTTGGGTCAAGGACTTCGTCCAAACAAATGGGTTCTTTTCTTCCCGATTTCGAATGGGTTCAGGGTTATTCCACTTCAAAAACATTCCAGACACTATCATTAAGAAGTTAGCGACCGTCGTGTATGCATGCGAGTATCCATGACATACTGCAACGAGTCCTGCCTTCGATCACGCGATGAATGCCGTGCTTAGATGTTCCCGAGTAAACAGTCGACAGGGGGAAGAAGATAACACGATTGACCCCATACCGCGATAATATAGAGCACTCGATAACATGGAGTCATTCCATATATTATTTCTTTACATGCATCTCCCTTTATTGTAGGCTGTTTATAAGCATCTTGTTGTTGCATTCTCCACGTATATTTTTGTGCCAGAACGATCTGCCATTTCATACAATTTAATTTACACTACAGCTCCCATACGCAAATTAAGCTAATAAAAAATACTGTTTTTGGCATACCAGCCTTGTCTTATTTGTGGTAAATATCATTATGCAGATTCATATATACCTTTCTCTTCTGCTATGCAGAAGCTCCGTGTAGTATATTCAAGCTATATTTAGATTATAGATTATATATTAGATTATTATTCCTTACCTCGGCAACTTTGATGCTCTGCGTCAATGTTATGTTTTTTTTCTCTTATCTCAGCGTATTTTATAAACGTACATGTATGATTCGGCTTCCTCGTTGCGTCGCGGCATTCCCGGGTTGCCATAAGAGGGCTTTTACCCGTGAAGATCCGGGTCAGAATAGGTCTCCAGCAACCCATGCTTGCCGTAACAGGCGACTATGCTTGTTGTAAGAGGCGACTAACGATGGTTGGGTTGTTGTTTAACGCCGCACTCAGGCAATCCAGTGATTGATATCATGAGCATCGATCCACGCAATTGGGATCAATGACATGCATCAACCAAGTCAGCAAGCCTGACCACCCGATCCCGTTAGTCGCCTCTTACGACAATAGACGCCTTTTATGACTAGCATTGGTTGCTGAAGACCTATTCTACCCCGGATCTTCACGGGTCAGACGACAAACGGGATCGGGTGGTCAGGCTCGCTGGCTTGGTTGATACGTGTCATCGTATCCCACTTGCGTGGATCGATTTTCACGAATTCAATCACTGGGTTGTCTGGACGTTTTACAGACCGCCGTCATATAGCTGGAATATTGCCGAGTGCGCCGTTAAAAAAACAATTTAAACAAACAAAAAACATCCACACACACACACACACACACACACACACACACACACACACACACACTCTCTCTCTCTCTCTCTCTCTCTCTCTCTCTCTCTTACACTTACGACACTGCTTATTACTAACCGAAAAAGTTGGAAGAATGATATTGGGTGATAAATAAAATCTCACCCTCGTGTCTTTTGATGGATATATGAACACTCGTTGATATATTTGATATCGAAAGACACACGGGTAAGATTCTCTATCTGTTAAGACATGTTTCACCTTTTTGTATTACAAGCATAGCAAAGTTTAGCGACCTATTTTGCGAGTATCTTTTCTTGTGTCTGGACATAGTGCAATGTTCATATTTCTCTTCCATTCTGTCTTGCTTGAAAGTTCTGTACGTTCTGATCATGAGCATATTGCCATGTGTTAAATTCCTATCGTTCCATAATTCTTGAACCCACAACATCTTTCTTTTTTGTGAGAAATATTTCTTGAATATGATGCGTCCATAAAATCCACATTCCAATCGTGTTTGGATGCAAGGGAGATAACTTTGGAAATCCAAGATACTTGGCTTCGTTTAGACCCTTCGTAAACAGTGTCAAGTTGACTTCTATTCTGTTTTGATAATTTGGAGTAAAATCTAAATATATCAATCCTTTGTTTTGTCAAGCAACCCTTCCAACCCATTTCCCCTCTCACATCGCAATTTGAAGTCGATTTGGATACTGCTAGGAAGAATATACAGGCTCTTTTTTGTATGGCATTGATGAAACTATATTCCCTCAGATCTCAGATAGCTGATTCATTGAGCAGAATAGGTTGGTTGTACAGGTGCTTCATTAAGTCTTCTGAAACTTTCATGAGTCACTCGAGCTGGGCCGTGAAAAGGTCTTGAAAAGGTCTTCTGCAACCCATGCTTGTCTTAAGAGGTGACTAACGGGATCTGGTGGTCAGGCTCGCTGACTTGGTTGATGCATGTCATCCTACCCCAACTGCGTGGATCGATGCTCGTGATGTCAATTGCTGGACATCTGGTCCAAATTATTTGCAAACCTCCGTCATATAGCTGGAATATTGCTGAGCGCGGCATCTGTGTCTTACATGTAAGTGCAAACATTGTCAGTGTTTTAGATGTGCTACACAACAATTCATTACGAAATCGTGACCTGTATACTGACACTGTATACCCACACTCCATATACTGACACTGTATACTCACCCTCCATATACTGACACTGTATACCCACACTCCATATACTGACACTGTATACCCACACTCCATATACTGACACTGTATACTCACCCTCCATATACTGACAATGTATACCCACACTCCATATACTGACACTATATAGCCACCCTCCATATACTGACACTGTATACCCACACTCCATATACTGACACTGTATACTCACCCTCCATATACTGACACTGTATACCCACACTCCATATACTGACACTGTATACCCACACTCCATATACTGACACTGTATACTCACCCTCCATATACTGACACTGTATACCCACCCTCCATATACTGACACTGTATACCCATCCTCCATATACTGACGCTGTATACTCACCCTCCATATACTGACACTGTATACTCACCCTCCATATACTGACGCTGTATACCCACTCTCCATATACTGACACTGTATACCCATCCTCCATATACTGACACTGTATACCCATCCTCCATATACTGACGCTGTATACCCACACTCCATATACTGACACTGTATACCCAAACTCCATATACTGACACTGTATACCCACACTCCATATACTGACACTGTATACCCACACTCCATATACTGACACTGTATACTCACCCTCCATATACTGACACTGTATACCCACTCTCCATATACTGACAATGTATACCCAAACTCCATATACTGACACTGTATACCCACACTCCATATACTGACACTGTATACCCACACTCCATATACTGACACTGTATACTCACCCTCCATATACTGACACTGTATACCCACTCTCCATATACTGACAATGTATACCCACTCTCCATATACTGACACTGTATACCCACCCTCCATAATGATATACTGGCACTGTATACCCACTCTCCATATACTGGCACTGTGTACCCACCCTCCATATACTGTCACTGAATACCCACTCTCCATATACTGACACTGAATACCCACCCTCCATATACTGTCACTGAATACCCACCCTCCATATACTGACACTGTATACCCACACTCCATATACTGGCACTGTATACCCACCCTCCATATACTGACACTGTATAAATACACTCAATATACCCACACTGTATACCCAGACTCCAAATATTGATGCTGTATGCCCCAACCGATACTACCCCCCTCTCTCTCTCTCTCTCTCTCTCTCTCTCTCTCTCTCTCTCTCTCTCTCTCTCTCTCACACACACACACACACACCATTCAGTGCGCTATATCAATGTGTACGTGTTATTTATAGATGATAGATACGTACACCCGGCGTTCACATTCTTCTTCCTCTCTTTCCATATAAGGAACGTGACAGGACTCTTCCTAGAAATGATGTAGCTAATCCTTATGTACCTTAGCAATCCTTATGTATCTTCATGATTGGACGTATTTATAAATGGTCCCCTTCAATAAATTATATCGTCAATCCACCCGTTGAGGTTTAAGATTCATTCTAACACCTGACAGACACGAATTATAGTTGAACACTCATCAACTTAATTCAGGCTTTCCCTTCCACAATATTACTCCTGTGGTACTGCCCTGCCCGTTCCACAAAGCGATCTAAGGGCTAAGTTGATTGTAACTCACTAAGTATGCGATCTTAAATTTTTGTTACTATCAGCCGACCGTTCCACCCGTATCCGCCCATGTAAACGGTTAACGGCATACTTACAAGATCGGGAAATTCCAGGTAATCAAGAAGAAAAGTCCTTGTTCATCTGCTGCATGTAATATACTGACACCGTGTACCAATGAGTCTGATTGAGCTATGACTGATATGACGCACAGTCAATTTATACTGCTACTGGTAAAATACTTCATACATCGAATGAGCTTTCTGAGAAATGACGTGACCTGGAAGACCTAGAATGATGAAGTGTTGCAGTTGTATTCTTATCACATATTCCATACACACAAAAATGTATGACGTTTACTGTTTGTTAAAGGACAATAAACTGTTACAAAATTGTGAAATGTTTATATTGTATTTTATTTGTATTATATTATTTACGGCAAGTACCGAGGCCTTCCTGTTCACGCGCTATCGATCAGACCCTGTGTGGAGTTCGAAACCGAAAGTAACTTGCTTGATGACGTCACAACAGATCCCGAGTTGAGTTGCGTCTGCCACTGTGCGGTCTGAAATCGGGGATAGGACAATAAGGTTAAGGTAGGTAATTTGAATATATCATTGTTATTATTTTATTATTCATAAACAAACTTGAGTAGGCTACCTTTATTGTGCGGTCAGTTATAGCAACATCTTCAAGCATTGTTCCACCGATCACGAAAACAGCAACGGTATCTAACATTAAATCAGCGATCAAGGACAGTAAGTGTATACGTGACAATATGTTTAACATGTATGTAGTCATCATCGCTTTCAATTTAGACAGATAACATTCTCACATGACATGTTTCACCTTTTTGTATTACAAGCATAGCAAAGTTTAGCGACCTATTTTGCGAGTATCTTTTCTTGTGTCTGGACATAGTGCAATGTTCATATTTCTCTTCCATTCTGTCTTGCTTGAAAGTTCTGTACGTTCTGATCATGAGCATATTGCCATGTGTTAAATTCCTATCGTTCCATAATTCTTGAACCCACAACATCTTTCTTTTTTGTGAGAAATATTTCTTGAATATGATGCGTCCATAAAATCCACATTGCAATCGTGTTTGGATGCAAGGGAGATAACTTTGGATATCCAAGATACTTGGCTTCCTTTAGACCCTTCGAAAACAGTGTCAAGTTGACTTCTATTCTGTTTTGATAATTTGGAGTAAAATCTAAATATATCAATCCTTTGTTTTGTCAAGCAACCCTTCCAACCCATTTCACCTCCCACATCGCAATTTGAAGTCGATTTGGATACTGCTAGGAAGAATATACAGGCTCTTTTTTGTATGGCATTGATGAAACTATATTCCCTCAGATCTCAGATAGCTGATTCATTGAGCAGAATAGGTTGGTTGTACAGGTGCTTCATTAAGTCTTCTGAAAGTTTCATAAGTCACTCGACCCATGAAGATCCAGGGTTGAATAGGTCTTCAGCAACCCATGCTTGCCATAAACAGCGACTATCTTTGTCTTAAGAGGCGACTGACGGGATCGGGTGGTTAGGCTCGCTGACTTGGTTGATGCATGTCATCGTATCCCAATTGCGTGGTTAGATGCGCATGTTTTTCAATCACTGGATTGTCTGGTCCAGACGCGATTATTTACAAACCGCCGTCGTATAGCTGGAATATTGCTGAGTGCGGCGGTAAACAACAAACAAACAAACAAATCATAAGTCACTCTCCCTGCCTCAATATACTTTGCCTGAACTTTTGACGAGGCTCTAATGGCTGCTTTCGCAATTTCTTTACGGGAAAACAGTCGGTCCAAGTTTTCATTTAACCAACAACCAAGGTTCTTATACTTATCGTCGAAGTCTATTTCCTGTGCTCCACAGTTAAATTTTGTAGTGGTACGAGATGAGTTTTTATTCCCAAAATGCACAATCTTTTTCACATTTACCTCGTAAGAGGCGAGTGTGCATGTTGTGAGAGGCGGCTAACGGGATCGGGTGGTCAGGCTCGCTGACTTGGTTGATGCATGTCATCCTACCCCAACTGCGTGGATCGATGCTCGTGATGTCAATTGCTGGACATCTGGTCCAAATTATTTGCAAACCTCCGTCATATAGCTGGAATATTGCTGAGCGCGGCATCTGTGTCTTACATGTAAGTGCAAACATTGTCAGTGTTTTAGATGTGCTACACAACAATTCATTACGAAATCGTGACCTGTAATGTGACAATGTAATATGACCTGTCATGATATCCATCAATGTAATGTTTTTTTATGAATATATTATCCCTGTTATGATCTGGATTAAAAAATGAGAAAACAAGACTTGTTTTGTTAAATACGGTAACCTGTTAGAATCACAAAGCATGTTTTGACAGAATAGCCACATTCCACAATCATGCAACTGTAACCATTGCCCCGCGAGCCACATCAATTTTGGCTATCTATTTGCGAAATGTGGCTTAGGCGGCCTGTAACCGTATTACTTAGTTACCATACGGAAGTACAAGGCTTATTGAATGTTGCCACTCAAGGGTACGTCTCAACGTCCCCTGGGAAGTCTTTTTAATCAATAGTTAGTTATTTAACCTCGTTATCATATGTCACAAGGGGCGGAAACATAGGTCTTCTCGGTGCGTGTAATAGTAGTATCATTTGACTCTACATTATCGCGGCACGTAAACTCTCGTAATCCTCACCCTATGTCGACTGTTTACTTATGCAAACCAAAGCACAATATTTCATGGCTTGATAATGTCACGGTGACTCCTAAGTCATCTTCCCGAGGCAAGGGAGTTACCTGACTATAAAAGTCCGGTTTCCACCCTTGCCGAACGAGGCTGGAATTCCGGAGTTATTTTTTTGGCCGGACTAACGTGTCTATGCATAGTTCAAAATTGCGTTACGAGAGCGACATCCGGTTCGTAAACGTCCGTGCCGATTTCTGTCGATCGCAGGATTTGGAAAGCACGTGGACTGTCTGCTCGGCGTCGACAGATATTTCCCAAATCTTTTCATGTTTTTAATCAAGGGGTCCAAGTAATTTGATGCACTTCGCAAGGTCAGACCGAATTTAATACAATATAGACCTTGATTATCGATCAGATCGTTTTGACTGGGCGCCGCCATTTTGTTTGAAGCCAATGTAAGTGATATGAAAAGTGGAATCTGATCAAGAGGAGTTGCATAGAAGGGACACAACTCTTACTAGCCACAGGTGGCGCCACGATGAAGCCATGAAATTCCAGTGTAGTTCGGCAAGGGTGGAAACTAGACTTTTACAGTCAGTTAACTCCTTTGTCTCGGGAGGACATCTTCTCAAGGCAAGGGCGTTAACTTACTATAAAAGTCAAGTGGATGTCCCTCCTATTGACCAATCAGAATCCATCACTCTTATCACTTGCATTTATTTCAAACACATTGGCGGCGCGCAGTCAAAACGATCTGATCGCTATTCAAGATCTATATTGTGATAAAACGGGTCTTACCCCACGAAGTGCATCAAATTACTTGATTAAAAACATGAAAAGATCTGCAATATCTGTCGCCGGGTAGTTGGCGGCAACTTCAGCTTGCCGTAAAAGGCGACTATGCTTGTCCCTAATTTTCCCATTAGGTCAGTACTAGTTCTTGCAGGACTTTGAGGTATCGCATTACCTGTTTTATTGCAGATATCATGGGTGCCACAGCCACTTCTCTGTTCAAAGTGGTTTAGAGTTCAATCAAGTCGCTGTCAAGGAAATTCTGCAAAAAGCTGTGAAGGTATATATGTCTATTAATCGCCTGTATATATATTTCTATCTGGGTTGATTAACCTCCACGACCCGTTACGATCCGGGTCAGAATAGGTCTTCAGCAACCCTTACATGCCATAACAGGCGACTGTGCTTGTCGTAAGAGGATCGGGTGGTCAGACTCGCTGACTTGGTTGATGCATGTCATCGTATCCTAATTGTGTAGATGGATGCTTATGATGTAAATCACTGGATTGTCTGTCACAGACTCGAATATTTGCAGAGCGCCGTCACATAGCGCATTGCGGCGTTAGACAACAATCAAACAAACAAACGTTCATCTCCACGTCTGTGCATATTGCATGTTTTGCCTTTGTTTCCCCTTAGTCTCTGGAATATGTACATTAATATGTTTGACATCTTCATCTGTCTTTCGTTTAATTATGAGGGGACACGGGTGGCCCAGACGGTGTGCAGATTTGCGTCCCTTGCGCACACCAGAAACGTATGATTGTGGGTTCGAATCCCGGTTCCCCCCGATTATGTTTCTAGGTTTGTCAGCACCATACCCGTGCTCGTGGGTTTCACCGAAGTGGTAAACGTCTAAGACCTGCATCGCTTTCCTCCCACATTAAGCTGACACGCCGTGATATAACTAGAATACTGTAATGTTCAAAGTGGTGCTAAACCCAACTCACTCACTCACTTTTGATTATAAGAGTTATTTAGGGCTGTCGCATGCATTTGGCCGTTTACACATTGGAATGTCCTACGATGTCTGCACTATTCCTCTCTTTCTTTGACTTGCCTTTGCATGTGTTTGTGATAGGTGCCACTAATTGAGCAGGATACGACGCCTTTTCGCGAACGCCTGGTATCATCACTGTTTGATAGTGATGTTCATAGACCTCCAGTGACGTCAACCTATCGTTCTCCGGTCGTGTTATCTCCCCTAAACAGGGATGTTATAACATCCCAGGGATTGTATTGATACAACTTCCTGTAATATTGTAACATATGAATGTTTCTCACTAGAAATTTATTTTGCATTTGAACACAATGTAATGAAATGTCAATTCACATGACAAATGTTTTCTTTATATTATTCTTCCGCGTATCGAACATGCAACCTTCCTATCTCTAGCCCAGTGAATGGACCAATAGCCTGCAGATACGCTGACAAATAATCACCATTTTTTTTAAGAATGTCTCCCATCAAGTTCCCTTACGCCAGAGACAGATATTTTACACCTGTTGCCTGAGATTCATGGAAAGTATGTTTGAAACAAAAATGTTGATAAATGTTTTAAGTTTCTTTTTTCGGTTAGATAAAACACTCCTCGGGATTTTATGAGATTTAAAACCCGAATGCAAGGGATAAAACCGAGGGGCGACTGAGCTGTTTTATCCAATACATTAATACATGCTCATGATATAGTCTGAATGGTACAACCAACTCTGCTATTGGTTGAAGTTTCTGTTGAATATGGAATGAATTATATCTCTTTTATTTATGAATGACCTCCTGTATCTATATTATCGCTCAATGCACTTTTTGCATAGGCCTTTGTCTACCGACTATTTCATAATCAGGCAGAGAGCGGTGACCTCGGAGTTTGTATGAATACAAGATATCTTTTCAGCTTCATCTGCAAAACCTGATATATGTTTTTCATTTAGACTTTGAGCCGAAACACTTTGCAACAAAATATTTTTTGTGGCAGCCAATATTATTTTTTTAACAGTCTGAAGCATAGTTATAGCTTTCACACATTTTCTTTGACAGTATATTTTTTCGATAACATCCCAGGCAACCAGGCATCCCCCTTCACCCCTAGAATATCAAATGGTCGGTCTCTTACAGTGCTATTTCAGTTATTGCCTTCATGCAAAAAGAGACCTGTGAACACCCAGGGTAGAATAGGTCTTCAGCAACACCTGCTTGCCGTAAAAGGCCACTATGCTTGTCGTGAGAGGCGACTAACGGGATCGGGTGGTCAGGCTCGCTGACCTTGTTGAAGCATGTCATCGATCCCAATTGCGAGGATCGATGCTCAAGATATCCCTGGATTGTCTGGTCCAGAGTTGATTTTTTACAGACAGCCGTGATATAAATGCAATATTGCTAAGTGTGGCGTAAAACAACAAACCAGCAAACCAAATCATGCAAAAAGAAGAAAAAGCATATTACACTGAAAATCTGCAGAAAACAAAATAATGTCCGTGTGCCTCTTCAGCTTGTCTCTATTTTTTAGCTGCAGCATGGCTGAAGGTAATTTCCCTGTCCGTATTGTGAGACTTCCTGGAACAGATCTTGAGCAGACCAATAGAGACAGGCAAAACAGTTTATCAGATCTGCCAGCCCATGCTTATGAATCACCTGACCAAAGAGGCCGAGGACGAGGTAGAGGATGGAGGGGACGTAACAGGGGCCGCGGTAGAGGTCAGTCAGAAGGACACAATAATGACCAGAGTACTGACAATGGGCGTGGTAGGTACCAAGGCAGATCGCGTGGAAGAAATAATAGAGGTGGAAAAGGAGGGGACAGTGGTATGAGACGTTGGCAAAGCAGTGAGGTGATAGGTACTGCTAGATCACCCGAGGATGGATCCCAAGGAGCCCCAGGGCGTGGAGCCAGGAAGGAATATGTTGAGAGACCAATGGGCTACAGGAAACTGAGTGACCTGGCGTCTAGAGACAGTTGTGAAGATGTGACACTGGAATTGACCAGTGCAAATAATGGTTTTGAAATGTTGCTAAAGTTGGATAGAATAAAACCGGACTGGATGGATCTGTTGCTACAGATTTTAGAAAAGGCATGTAAATCTATACATAGAGAAAGTGTTCTGCTGGTTTTAACAAAACTTTGTTCGTCAACATTTATTGAAAAGCATGTAATGAATTTTCTAACAGGTGAGCTACAGCCTCCATATTCAGTTAACATGGTTGACAAGGTCAAACGATTACTATGTCTCTTTGACACAATCTGTCATAGGCTTCCCTCGTCAGCAGAAAAATGTGTAGGGAGCCTGGTGGTCATGAAGGCAGTGTTTGATGTACACCAGCTAACAGCTATCCATACAGACCTCGAACAGAATAGAATGGAACTGTTGGCAATGTGCCAGGGAGCTGCACTAGTTGAAAAGGAAGAAGAAAGGGTGAAACAGTCGCAGGGCAGAAAAAGAAGGCCAATGACTAATGCCGATGATGATACTCCTCCAGATGATTTCAGAAAGTTGCAGATGTATCCCGACCCAGAGGATCTGCAACTTAATCAGGATGTTTTCCTTCGGAAGAACAAGGACCAGGGAAGCTATCCAGACCTCAACACCTACTTGGATGTACAGTTTAGGCTGCTGAGAGAAGACTACATCCAACCTCTGAGAAGGGGTATACAAGACTACAGAAATGCTTTGAAGAAAGGAGAAACACCTAAGAAATTGTCAGATTTGCGGCTGTATTATGATGTCCATGTCATTGGATCAGTCTGTAATGAAGACGTTGAAACCAGACTGAAGTTTGATACCTCCAGTACCAGCAAGATCAGATGGCAGTCATCGAAGAGATTGATCTATGGGTCGTTGGTTTGTTTGTCTCAAGATGATTTTGAAACGATCATATTTGCTACTGTGACAAACAGAAATGTCAAGGATCTGGAAAAAGGTATCATCCAAGTTAGATTTGAAAGTGGCCATGATGTCATCCTAAATGCCAAGGCAAATGATTCCTTCATCATGGCAGAAACAACTGCCTATTTTGAGGCATATAAGCATGTACTTTGCCGATTGCAACAGATCACAGACAACATGCCTTTCCAGAAGTATATTGTTGAATGCAAGACAACAGTTGGTCCTCCAAAATATTTTTTGGAAGGTGGAGGCATCACTAGCTACACATTGGCAGTACTTGGTGACCAGTCACCAGCTTTACTGTCAGTACCTGTTCTGAACGTTTTAGGATGGCCGCATCTGTCTTCTTTTAACTTAGACAATACACAGCTGCTAGCAGTGAAGACAGCACTGACTAAAGAGGTAGCTATCATTCAAGGCCCTCCTGGAACTGGAAAAACATATGTTGGGCTAAAAATTGCCGAGGTGCTTTTCGCAAACAGAACTGCTTGGTCAAAGGATCCAACAAGCAATGCAGTGTTGGTAGTTTGTTACACAAACCATGCTCTTGACCAATTCCTGGAAGGGATTGCTCGTTTTCTTCAAGAGGATATTGTTCGAGTTGGAGGGAGAAGTAGCAGTGAAGAATTAAAGAAATTCAACTTGAAAGAACTCAGAATGGAAAAACGTAAGGAGAAGAGTGTCAGAAGAAGTGTCATAAATAACTCTTATCAATGCAGGAAGTTTATGACAGCTTTAAGGCGGGATATAGAGGAGGTTAGCGGAAGGATTGAGGTGAGTTCAATTGGAATTCTCAATGAGAAGGTCCTGATGCGATTTATGGATGGCCATCATTACCAATCACTTACGGAAAGATATGCAAGAGACTCCAACATGGCTGCTGTTCAAATCTGGCTAGGATTGGAGGATTTGACATGTCAGAGCGAAGGTGATCAGGCCAAAATCGCTTTGCTAGAACACTGGGTTCAGCTTATATTAAAGGTCTGTTCTCGTTACATCCAAGAGAAGAAAAACAAACCCATCGATGTTGAGAAGGTCATGTCTTTGGGACTTGTTCATCGAGTTGACCTGTATCACGCCTGGATAGAACAGTTCAGGTCCCATATTAGGAAGAAAATACATGAACTGGAAGAAGGATGCGACGAGGAGGAGGAGGAGGATAAATTTGAAAGCCCGGAACTACATGGACTCCGACTGCAACTTGAGTCATCACAGAATTATGTTCTCATGGATGCACCTCTTCGTCCATTTGTCCCAAATGACATCTTCAGAGCTATTACAACTGGGAAGTATTCTCGTTTTGAAGAAGGGTGCGCAATTCAGGCTTGGCTTGGGGCCTCCCGTTACCTACTGGAAGAGGGTCTTCCCTTAGCAATACAACAACTAGAACTTGAAACTGAAGATGATGAATATGATGATGAGGGGCTGAATGCAGATGAAGAGGCAGATATCATTACAGCTCAGAGATTGGTTGATGATCAAGACAACATATTTCAGACAAAATCGGGAAATTCAGCGTTTCGTATTAAGAAGGCTATGGAATCCGTTGCCTTGAGTATGGAGAGTTTGGAGAAGAAAGACGGGAAAAAGAAGGAAGGGAAGGATGGAGAGTGGGAGCTTCAGCCTCAGCAGAAGAAGAAACTCAAAAAGCAGCTGGAAAGTATATTGAAAAGTAAAGAGTGCATGGAAGAGAAACAGGTTGATTGTATAGATGATGTTTGGGCTGTGCCCATTCAGCAACGAGCCTCTCTGTACAGATACTGGCTGCTGAAGTACCAGAACTATCTAAAGGAATCCATCCAAGGGAAAGAAGAGGAATATCGAAAAACAGCAAGTCGTTTGAAAGAGGTTCTCCAAGAAGAGGACAGAGATATTCTAGCTGAAGCAAAAGTGATTGGTATGACAACAACTGGAGCTGCCAAACATGCAGCTCTGTTGCAAGCTGTTGCTCCGAGAATCATCATTGTTGAAGAGGCTGCTGAGGTCCTTGAGTCTCATATCATCACAACACTCAATCCTAGATGTCAGCATCTCATCCTTATTGGCGATCATCAACAGCTCAGACCAAATCCAACTGTCTATGAACTAGCAAAGACTTACAATTTAGACATATCTCTTTTTGAGAGACTGATAAAGAATGACATGCACCATGTCACTCTCGGGCACCAGCATAGGATGAGACCTGACATTTCTGTCCTCATCAAACACATTTATCCTGAGCTTCAAGATCATCAGTCTGTTACCACATTTCCGGATGTCCTCGGGGTTGAAAAGAATGTCTTCTTTGTTCACCATGAACATGACGAAGAGCATCAAAGTGAAACCATGAGTAAAACCAACGAGCATGAAGCGTCATTCATTGTTGCTCTTACTCGATATTTTCTTCTTCAAGGTTACAAACCGTCTGAGATCACGATCCTTGCTGCTTACACAGGTCAAATCCTACTCATCAAAAAACACATGTCTAAAATGACAGACATGTTTAAAGGTGTTCGGCTTACCTCTGTTGACAATTATCAAGGTGAAGAGTGTAAAATCGTCTTACTTTCCTTTGTCCGAAGTAATGAAGAAGGGTCGATAGGATTCCTTGGTATTGAGAACCGAGTATGTGTGGCTTTGTCAAGGGCAAAAGAAGGACTCTATGCTGTTGGAAATTTTCATCTTCTCTCCCAAAAGAGTTCTCTGTGGAAAAAGATTACTGAGACATTGAAAGAAAAGAAATTCCTTGGTCTCTCCCTTCGGTTGAAATGCCAAAATCACCCGGAAGTGACAATAGATGCTTCCGAAGCTAGTGACTTTGAAAAAGCTCCAGAAGGAGGGTGTACAAGACCATGTGATATCAGACTGCCATGTGGCCATGTCTGTGAACGAATTTGTCACAACGTAGACCGGGAGCACAATGGTTTCAGATGCAGGAAACCCTGTACCAGAGGATTTCCACAGTGCAGCCATGATTGTCCAAAGAAATGTTTTGAGAAATGTGACAATTGTCGTATTCCTGTACCAAAGACCATTCCTATGTGTCGTCATGTGGACATGGTTCCCTGTTCCAGAGATCCATATTCCTGGGCCTGTACCAAGACATGTAACACCAAACTGCCATGTAGTCACCAATGCAAGGGAAAGTGTGGCAACTGCCGGAAAGGAGGACACAGAGAACTCTGTACAGAGATGGTAGAGAAAGTCTGGCCATGTGAACACATCCTCCAGACAAAGTGTCATGAAGCCAACCTTGCAACAATATGTGACCGTCCATGTCAGACTACACTTGACTGTGGACACAAGTGTAAGGGAACATGTGGAGCGTGCTTCTTTGGGCGTATTCACAAGGCATGCAAAGAAAAGTGTAAAAAGAAGCTCCCATGTTCCCATAAATGTCAGCAACCCTGTGGAGCTGCCTGTACTCCCTGCAGTGACGTTTGCACCACCGCCTGTTCTCATAGTGTATGCAGCAAGCCCTGCGGTCAAGTCTGTCTCCCATGTACGGAAGTTTGTCCTGGTGGATGCAAACATTCTACTTGCACAAAGCTGTGTTCTGATGAATGTACCAACACGCCATGCGAGTTGCCATGTGACAAGATGGTGTTTCCATGCAGACATAAGTGTATTGGGCTTTGTGGAGAAATGTGCCTGTGCAGTGAATGTTATAAGGGGCCACTTCCAACTACCTCTACCACATCAGAGGAGTCAGAAACGTTCATCAGATTCAAATCTTGTGATCATGTATTCACCAAGACGTACATGGACATATGGATGAAAGCTGCATCGGCAAAGTATGCCACTTTGCCAGTCTGCCCCAAATGTCAGAAGACAATAAAGGGAAGTGCCAGATATGCTAATATCATCAAGAAAAGCTTCTCAGAAATACAAGATATGAAGAAAGAACTTGAGGCCGCATCTTCAACTAAGAGCAAACTCACCACCCTTAAAGCATCTTTCTCCAGTTCCCCTCTTCCAATGGATGTAATCAGGAAGCTTCAGGACTTTCTCATGAACCCACACAGTACCATCAATACCGTCAATGCTGTTAAGAGTCAGTTCTCAATGTCCGTTGATCTCTATGAGATTCAGCAGCTGCTCACCAGCTCCCACCTGAAAGCATCCGAAGAAGCCAAAGATGTTGACGTCCTTCTGAACCATGTCCTACAGAAGAAAGACTTCATGAGCCCTCAGATGATCAAAGAGTACAGGGCTGAGATCAGGAGACTCTTAACCAAGATAACACAATCTGGTCCAAAGGCTCCTAAACATAACCCTGCTGAGGAGGGTACATCTGTTTAGTCTCTGCTATGGAAAATGCAAGTGATTCATTATGTAATTTCAGTGAAGTAATTAGCCAAGTAACAGGTGTTAAAACTGCCGGTTTAAATATTTTGTATTAGTGGACAATGGTATTTCAAGATACTTTAATTATGTTCCATACGCCGATCGGTCAGAAAACCGACGTCTAGTGGTTTGTAGACTGCAGTCCATTCTACTGTCAGCTGGTGTCATCAAATATATACTACATACCTGTTCGCTGTGTGCTGTAAAGAGAATGCATACTTGAGGAAAGAATTACTTGTGTGTTTATCTCTGATTATGTTTTTCTTTGTGCTCATTGTATTTTATTTATGGCGGTAATCTTCCGCTCGTGCTTGTTTATCTATTCACCTCCAAATAAGTATGGGAACACATTGTATGAATGTAGTATAGATATGTTTTAGTTTCAGACATTTCAACAGAGTAGAAAGGATAGTAGCAAATCACACAAATGCGTCCTCAGATACCACGGCTTTTATGCAATGACCACATCTTGGACTGATGATGTGATTTAGTGAATGGAAAGCGGTCATTCCCGTCGTGCAAAAATCAAAATTCATGGAAGAACTAGAAGGAACATCTGGTGCACGGATGCTACACCACTTTGGTCTGTGCATCACGTCGAACAACTAACCTTGTGCGGACATCATCTCATGTGGAATAAACAAAAGTCCCGATTCTGCCTACAGTTTAATTATGGTCCTGAGACGCCTTAGTACATTTTACCACCGTGCGTGAGAGGGGCTTGTTTGTCAGTGGATCTTTAATGATCCCATGAGGCTTTAGTTGCCATCACACGACTTCCCTTCCCATGCCCAAGGCTACATCGGTGCAGGAAGTGCATTCTGCTAAGTGGTCGTTATTGACACCATCCGACCATGTGTCACGTACCTTTTTGGACCCAATTGCGTCGATCGGTGCTCATAATGTCAGTCACCGGATTGTCTTGTCGAGACTCGTTTATTTACCGACCGCCGTCATATAGCTGGAATACTGAGTGCGGCGTTAAACAACAAACAAACAAACATTACCTGCTTCCAGACTCCCGTCAAAATCATCCCCTATTTTTCCTTTGCACTTATTTTACAGCATTGTCTGTACTTTTTGTTTTCAAATATATGGTCATATCAGTTTTGTTTTCATGGTGTCCGGAAAACCAGGTTTTCCGATACTATTTTTGATAGTGTTTGTGGACAGTTGGGTTCAGTTGTGTGAATGGTCATCACAGGCCACAACCGTGCTGACTCTGGTACAATATGTTATAGCAATCAGCTATACCTTTTGATGATACCGTAAAAGGTGACTATGCTTGTCGTAAAAGGCGACTAACGGGATCGGGTGGTCAGGCTCGCTGACTTGGTTGATGCATGTCATCGATCCCAATTGGGTGGATCGATGCTCATGATATCAGTCACTGGATTGTCTGGTCCAGACTCGATTATTTACAGACCGCCGTCACATAGTTGGAATATTGCTGAGTGCGGCGTTAAACAACAAACCAATCAATCAATAATGATACACATTACATGAAACCACAAATAAACATGACAAACACATGGACAACTATGAACCAAATTAATTTGGATTTACAGAAATGAGAAACGGCCTTATCCATCCCCATGAAGAGAATTAGGGTCAAACAATTAAAATTATAACTACTCATTTTCTAGCCTTGGAGAAATGACACTCACCAATTTGGATGATTGATAAAAATATCATTGTGACGTTTTCGTCAATTAACTAAACATGCTTTTTACTTGATATTTTGATTATATCCATGCTGTGGTTGTAGGTGTATGTTTGATTTAGTTTGTTGTGCATTTTACATCCTTTATACTTTTTTATAAACGTCACAAATACTTGTTTGTTCGTGTTTAGGAACCATCTAATTGTTCCGATTATGCAGTTAGCATGTCATGTTCAGTTCAAAATTGTATTATAACAACGTCAATTCAAATTCATATGATTTCAAAATCAATTGTTTAGCATTAAGACTGTTGTTTTCATTATTTCAATGTCAATAGTATTATGTATATATTGTGAAGGTAGTATTTACATAGTTTGCAACCAAGTGTGTATGAAAACCTCTGCTTTATGAGTGGCATTTTAAAAAACATTGTATATTTTTTTCTTGTGCTTGTTTAATGCTATTTGGTGCATTATTTCAGCGTTCGAAATACCTGCCTGCCCGACCGTCCGAGACGGGTTGATTTCAACTCGGGCTGCCAGGTTTTCAAATCCCCCTGCCCGGCGGTCGGGTTATGTTTCATATGTGAATATATTCTAAATATTCCCCGATGATAAGCATTAATTCACATGTAAAGATGAATGATAAAATGTAACCAAAAAGAAACCCCGTTAGCTAACCTAAAATTTAGGCCCTGTTTAGGAATAAGGATATTTACATGATGTAGTCCAGGATATTAAATACAAATCTGACCTAAAAAGTGTTTGCTATTTCTTTTCTTGCATTACTTCATGTTCAATGAATTCGATTTAAAGTTTTAATTAAATTATCCTGAGAAACATATGATTATAGTGGGCAGGCAGGTTTTGGTCAGGGCTGGCAGGTATTTCAGCTAGCGAGTCCTGTGGTCTGGCTGAAATATTTGGGAATTTCATACCCTGATTATTTACATATTATTATCAGAACATAACTGTACCTTACTATACCCGGAAACAAGAGAGTTAAGAGAATACTTGTATCTCTGCAGTATGGACATGACGTCCTCTGTGACCCGTGAAGATCTGGGGGAGGATAGGTCTTCAGCAACCCATGCTAGTCGTAAAAGGCGATTATGCTTGTCGTCAGAGGCGACTAACGGGATCGGGTGGTCAGGCTCGCTGACTTGGTTGAAGCATGTCATCGTATCCCAATTGCGTGGATCGATGCTCATGGTATTCATCACTGGATTGTCTGGTCCAGACTCGATTATTTACAGACCGCTGTCGTATAGCTGAAATATTGCTGAGTGCGGTGTTAAACACCAAACAAACAAACAAACAAATTACGTACTCTGTAGATGGCGTACAACTGCGGACAAGGCATTTGTGGTAAACTGTAGACGTGACGTACTTTGTAGACATGATGTCCATGGTACAATGTGAACATGGTACATGGTACACATGACGTACACGATACACTGTAGACTTGACGTACTGTCGATATGGCGTACATGGTACATTGTTGACATGACGTACATGATATAAATGTAGACTTGATGTACTATCGACATGACTTATTTGGTACACTGTAAATATGGCCTGCACTTTAATTCCTTATAGTACATTCCCTGTAGACGTGATGAACACACGACATGACGTGCATGGTACACTGTAAACGGCCTGCACTGTAATTCTATATAGGACATTCCCTGTAGACGTGATGAACACAAGACATGACGTGCATGGTACACTGTAAATGGCCTGCACTGTAATTCTATATAGGACATTCCCTGTAGACGTGATGAACACAAGACATGACGTGCATGGTACACTGTAAATGGCCTGCACTGTAATTCTATATAGGACATTCCCTGTAGACGTGATGAACACAAGACATGACGTGCATGGTACACTGTAAATGGCCTACACTGTAATTCTATATAGGACATTCCCTGTAGACGTGATGAACACAAGACATGACGTGCATGGTACACTGTAAATGGCCTGCACTGTAATTCTATATAGGACATTCCCTGTAGACGTGATGAACACAAGACATGACGTGCATGGTACACTGTAAATATGGCCTGCACTGTAATTCTATATGGGACATTCCCTGTAGACGTGATGAACACAAGACATGACGTGCATGGTACACTGTAAATATGGCCTGCACTGTAATTCTATATAGGACATTCCCTGTAGACGTGATGAACACAAGACATGACGTGCATGGTACACTGTAAATATGGCCTGCACTGTAATTCTATATGGGACATTCCCTGTAGACGTGATGAACACAAGACATGACGTGCATGGTACACTGTAAATGGCCTGCACTGTAATTCTATATAGGACATTCCCCGTAGACGTGATGAACACAAGACATGACGTGCATGGTACACTGTAAATATGGCCTGCATTGTAATTCTATATGGGACATTCCCTGTAGACGTGATGAACACAAGACATGACGTGCATGGTACACTGTAAATATGGCCTGCACTGTAATTCTATATAGGACATTCCCTGTAGACGTGATGAACACAAGACATGACGTGCATGGTACACTGTAAATATGGCCTGCACTGTAATTCTATATAGGACATTCCCTGTAGACGTGATGAACACAAGACATGACGTGCATGGTACACTGTAAATGGCCTGCACTGTAATTCTATATAGGACATTCCCCGTAGACGTGATGAACACAAGACATGACGTGCATGGTACACTGTAAATATGGCCTGCATTGTAATTCTATATGGGACATTCCCTGTAGACGTGATGAACACAAGACATGACGTGCATGGTACACTGTAAATATGGCCTGCACTGTAATTCTATATAGGACATTCCCTGTAGACGTGATGAACACAAGACATGACGTGCATGGTACACTGTAAATATGGCCTGCACTGTAATTCTATATGGGACATTCCCTGTAGACGTGATGAACACAAGACATGACGTGCATGGTACACTGTAAATATGGCCTGCACTGTAATTCTATATGGGACATTCCCTGTTGACGTGATGAACACAAGCCATGACGTGCATGGTACACTATAAATATGGCCTGCACTGTAATTATATATGGGACATTCCCTGTAGACGTGATGAACACAAGACATGACGTGCATGGTACACTGTAAATATGGCCTGCACTGTAATTCTATATGGGACATTCCCTGTAGACGTGATGAACACAAGCCATGACGTGCATGGTACACTGTAAATATGGCCTGCACTGTAATTCTATATGGGACATTCCCTGTAGACGTGATGAACACAAGACATGACGTGCATGGTACACTGTAAATGGCCTGCACTGTAATTCAATATAGGACATTCCTTGTAGACGTGATGAACACAAGACATGACGTGCATGGTACACTGTAAATATGGCCTGCACTGTAATTCTATATGGGACATTCCCTGTAGACGTGATGATCACAAGACATGACGTGCATGGTACACAGAAGATATGAGTTACACGTTACACTAAAAACATCACGTTCACTGTTGACATGACGTTTTCGGGTCAATTGAAATCAAAGTAACCTCTGTCTTGCCAAAGTAAAGTTTACAATATCAAAACTACCAAACCTTGACAACTACTCTTCTTTGCTGAATATATTGAGGATATTTCATGTGTCGAGTGAAATATAATGTTTCTCTCACCGAGTGACGGGGGAAAGGAGATATTTCAATCGACACATGAAATATCCTATTTATTATATACTTTTGGTGTAGTCGTCTGCAGGAAGATTAAATTATTTCATTACAAATATAAAACCTTCAAGCGTAAATTCTCCCTACATAACACACATGGACGGTTTTCCACCCCCTGTAAGTACGACTAAAAATGTAGTTCCGTCCTTGCTAAATCTAAAAAAAATATAAACAAAAGTAACCAAAAATATTTGATGTCACTAAAATTCTTTAGTATACATTTGAATATGATTATATACAAAATCAACTTCATCGAAAAATAAATTTCAAATCAATGAGACGGTTGTTCGAAGCGAAAGAATACACGCAATTCAAGTAACAAAATGGCGTTTTGGGAAACGACTGACAAATCAGAAGAGAAATTCACAGTTTAATACAAATCATTTTCAACAAAATAACAAACGGTAAGAATCGGTATTAACTACATAAATGATCATCTGTCATTATATGATTTGTAAACGTTGAACTGACGTAAATCAACAGTTTGTGTACGAGCTGTCTCGTGTAGGCCAAAATAGTTCCGTCAACGTGTTATGTTCACTGCAGTGAAATATCAGGTGTTATGTTCACTGCAGTGAAATAGCAATTGTTATGTTCACTGCAATGAAAATATCACTTTTCTCAACTTCAGAAACCTCAGTCTTTCACACTGAAGTATATAATAAATTGGCCTACACGGCCATAAATACTAGTAATCCATTAACATCTTTGAATAATCTATTTATTAATAACTTATAACTTATATAGATGTCGTGACTCTCATACATGTCTAGCGGGCACGGGTGGCCCAGTCGTCTAAGTCGCTATTCGTTTTGCAGAATTGCCTCCCTTGAGCACACCAGAAACCTAAGATTGTGGGTTCGAATCCAGGTTCGCCACAATTATGTTTCTAGGTTTGTCAGCACTATACCCGTGCTCGTGGGTTTCACCGAAGTGGTAAACGTCTGAGACCTGCATCCCTTCGGGCTTTCCTCCCACATTAAGCTGACACGCCGCGATAAAATAGAATACTGTTAAAAGCAACGTTAAACCCAACTCACTCACTCACTCACTCTTATATAGATGTCGTGCCTCTCATACATGTCTTGTTGATTTTCAGGTTTTCTGTGGTTAGTTGTTTGATGGAACCTATCGCAGAAGTGATATTTATACATAGCTTTTTTGTGTTCCAACAGTGATTTGTATTATTCCTAACTGATAGTAAATCGGGATTGTTACAATGTTATACTGTATGCATGTGTGTATCTAAATTCCCACAAACCGACTGTAAACCAGTCGAAGAGTGTATAATTAATGAGCATTCTATATTAGTCTTTTCTGGAAATCTGATATCCACTGGGTATCTTCCCAAAACGTAGACCTGCCAAAACGCAGTCCCGTTAAAACAACACTCGTTATGGCTGGTTGCATCAGTAATTAGTACCCTGTACCCTTGATTAAGTAAAATGGTATCACCCAGATGTGACCAGCATGGCCCAATTAATTAGTGAGCTAATTTTAACTGCTTTTTGGGAGGTCTGCATTTTGGAGGTCAACGTTATGGGAGGGAACCATCCACTGTGTTATTTTGGTTGTTGATTGGATACGGATTGGAAATAAAACTTTATATCTCAAAGTGGCTCGTCTGTTTACATGATATATTTATAAGCTGATATATTTTATTGGCCGTGTCAGAGGGTGAGTGATAGGGTTTTACCCCCAATTTCGCAGCCAGGGAAACCAGAATGGCCTTCACTTAGTGCAACCATGACTGGGAATTGAACCAGGATTTTCAGCGTGGCGAGCAACCCATCCCTATCGGAGACGTGGTTGTCCGCACTACGTTTTTTCCTCCTTTTAAACATGTCAAAATTATTATAGCAAGAGAGTAAGTTGGGTTTTCAAATTTCGGAGGCTCAAAAGACTGCAGGGCCAAGACTCGATAAATGCAATGTATATTCATAATACAGGATATTTAACATACCCAAACACACTCGCATGATAACCGTTATATTTTATAACCACCCAAGGCCACCAATATAACGGTAATGACACACTACTCCAACGAATACTAACAGGCAAAATGCGGATTTCTGGATCAAGTTTGTTTGTTTGTTGTTTGACGCCGCACTGAGCAATAATCCAGCTATATGACGACGGTCTGTAAATATTCGAGTCTGGGCCAGACAATCCAGTGATTGACATCATGAGCATTGATCTACGCAATTGGGATGCGATGACACGCATCAACCAAGTCAGCGAGCCTGACCACCCGATCCCGTCAGTTGCATCTTACGACAAGCATAGTCGCCTTTTACGGCAAGCATGGATTGCTGAAGACCTATTCTCTGGATTAAGAAACAAAACAGAGGGTATATGATATGTGTTTATTGCATTGTGTCGCAACTTGGAACTATAAATTCGCTTACAGTGAATATACAACGAACAACACTCTCTCTTGAACGGAGAATATTGTAACACTGACATGTAATCGTTATACTTTTCTTTAAAGCATTAGATAAACATTAATTAGCTGAACCACAGCATTCGATCTGCATAAATCTTAAAGACATAATGTCAAGGATATATAAAGTAGATACTCTCGGAAGCAAGTAATTATCAAACTAACATGGACCCACTTGCACAAAGCGATCTCAGCGCTATGGTGATTGTAACTCCCATACTTTAACGTAGGCTTACAATAGTCGTAGCGCTAAGATCGCTCTGTGCAAGTGATCCCAGGTGTTTAAACAAGCAGTTACAGACACGATAGGCGTATACATACTTTAAGGTTGCATTACCAAGTGAACGAGTGCCTGAGTTGGTAACAGTGAGTGAGTGAGTTGGGTTTAACGCCGCTTTTAACAGTATTCCAGTTATATCGCGGCGTGTCAGCTTAATGTGGGAGGAAAGCCCGAAGTGATGCAGGTCTGAGACGTTAACCACTTCGGTGAAACCCACGAGCACGGGTATGGTGCTGACAAACCTAGAAACATAATCGGGGCGAACCGGGATTCGAACCCACAATCATAGGTTTCTGGCGTGTCCAAGGGACGCAACTCTGCACAGCGAATCGCGGCGCCTTAGACGACTGGGCCACCCGTGCCCCCAGTTGGTAACAGTATTCCATCATATGACGGTGCTGTATTAACAGCATATTAACAGTATCTTTGAACGGCAATGGTGTACAATGAAGACTTAAAATATATGGAATTGTATTCGCTACTACTCTGTACTGCATTGTCGCAGAATGACTTTTCAAGAATCAGATTTTTTATATATTATCATAATAAAGCATCTTAAATTCTAACGCTCTCAAAGAAATATACAGACTTAGGGTTTTCCTCTCTAATGTTCTCATATCACGAAAACATAAATAGCCTTAATACACAATCCACAAACAAATAAATATATGGAATACAAATGGTTCCCTAGGCCAAAATCCTTCTAATCCTGAAAGAAAGAATTTTTAAAAATACCAAGACATGTATTGTAAATCATTCTCATTAAAATCAATAAAATAGAAAGCCACATCAAATAAACTTTCAAATCAGCCAAACAGCATAGCTTATACATTAACGGTACGCGCGAGGGAAGCATTCGGAGAAACCTCCCCGTTTCTGTATCCCGACAACGATCAGAAAAGAGGACGGTTCCGAATGGAAATGATAAAAGTCGCTCTGTAAATGTTGCTGATTGTGCTCGTTTCTGAGCGCCAAAGCGTCTACTCCCAAAAAGGTTTACAATCGAGGGAACATTCGGTTTGTGTAATAGACATCGACACCAGTCGATAAAAGTTTAGACCTCCGAGGCTGATCGAGCGTTGATGCATCTGATATCAAAAGTCACAAGGGAGAAATTCTATTTGTTACCCAAAATCATACTTTGAACTTTTTTTGAGTTTGTAAACACCAATAACCAGTGCCTTGATTTCACACTGTATAGCTAACCATCTGTTGAGATGTTATTTGATCTGCAAAACGTTGTGATGCATTTTTTATTGTAGGCGATATCTCATGTGAAAGCTAGTTTCGGCTATCATGCTATAGAATTAATAAAAAGATTCTGTGTCGCATGGTCTCCTCATCTGGAACAATTACAAACTAAATGTCTCGACGACTTTGATGGGTCATTCTCACAAAGACTCCAAACTCAGCTCTCCGGTTATTAGTTTATCTATCCAAAATGTTCCCCATCGCCTGATTTTATATGAATATATTGCCGCCCCTTCAAAAGATCCCTTTGGCACGCCAGAAAGCTATGATTGTGGGTTCGAATTCGCCCCGATTATGTTTAAAGGTTTGTCAGCACCATACCAGTGCTCGTGGGTTTCACATAAGTGGTAAACGTTTGAGACCTGCATCACTTCGGGCTTTCCTCCCACGTTAAGCTGATACGCCGCGATATTACTGGAATACTGTTAAAAGGGGCGTTAAACCCAACTCAATCACTCACTCACTGTTATCAGCTATCAATTACAATCACGAATCGTCTGTCATGCAATGATCTAACAATATGATTTGCATTTCTATTCCATCTTCGCTCGGAGCGCATCCTTAGAATGTAAACAGAGATTATAGTTATGTAACACGTGGATGCTGTTATGGGTTTCAAAAACAAACAAAAATGCATTGGATTGTTTCTTACTATGATGGCGCAGCGTCTGCTGTAAGTAACAAACAAGCGAGACATGAAAGAATATCATAACAAATAAATGTCACAGTAACATCCTGTATGTCAATGGAGATCGTATCCTTCCACTGAACAAGAACCCTAACATAAAAGATACCACAGGTAACATCCTGTATGTAACATCCGTATAATGTGTGTTTGTTTGTCGTGTCAAGCCACACTCGGCAATATTTCAGCTTTATGACGGCGATCTGTAATTAGTCGAGTCTGGACCAGACAATTCAGTGATTGACATCATGAGCATCGATCCACGCAATTGGGTCACGATGACAAGCATCACCCTGACCCGATCCCGACAAGCATGAGTTGCTGAAGACCAATCCTAACCCGGATCTTCACGGGTCATATTCTATAGCACTGAGAGTAAATGACAAACAAATGCTAGATAAAATACCATTAAAGTCTATGATGGTAACACCTGCCATAAACATCAAAGAAACCAGGTTCCCTTTCACGAAACTATTCTCACAGATAACTAACCTTTTGTAGTGTGGTAAATCACATACAGGACAATATACAATACTATGTATTTTACATATTTTGAGTCCAATGGCCATGTTTTTGTCATTGTCACAGTGTCCGACTCGGGACAACCTTTGTCTGATGAACATTTAATTCCAAAGGCTAATTGTCATATAGTGAGTGAGTTTTGGTTTTACGCTGCTTTAAGCAATATTCCGGCAATATCACGGCGGGGGACACCAGAAATGGGCTTCGCACATTGTACCCATGTCGGGATTCGAACCCGGGTGTTCGGCGTGACGAGCGAACGCTTTAACCACTAGGCTACCCGACCGCCCCTAAATACCATGTAGCTATAACATGTACATGTATAGTGTTATAACCCTATGCTGGCATGGCGAGCTGCAAAGTCGTGGCCTAACTGACCACGACGACATGAACGACAATACGTTGAACTGTATTAGGGTCCCCCTTTACGCCCTAACGCAGTTACGACAATTTGTCTAGAATCATTAATTGCCATTATTTTTAAGATGCTCATCCACATTGTTATTCCTCATCACCATTGTATTGTACATTTTCTGTCAGCCGTCCTGGTCGAGCTGTGTAACTTTGTCACCTTTCATTAAATACTGTTGTTTGTATTTATGATGTAAGCCTTGGCAGGTGACCTTGGCTATATAAGCCTTGGTGCAGAGACGTAGAGAGCACACACAGCTCCCTTAGTTCGTCCCCCACCCACTCTTGGCATTCATTCCGAATCTCAAAATCTCAAAATTACTATATAAGCAACCCTTAGACCCCCCCCCCCCCCCCCCCCCCCTGGGTTGCACCACCACTTCCTTTTCCCCCTTTCGGAAACACATTAAATAGCCTGGCGGGCCCGTGTGCGACATACGCTTGAAGTCGGAAAGTGCACGTAAAATCTCCAATATTATTATTATTATCTCCAAGTAAGTTTGGTTGTTTGTTTGGTTGTTTGTTGTTTAACGCCACACACACGCAATATTCCAGCTAAATGACGGCGGTCTGTAATATAATCGAGTCTGGACCAGACAATCCAGTGATTGACATCATGATCATCGATCCACGCAATTGGGATCGATGACATGTATCAACCAAGTCAGCGAGCCTGACCACCCGATCCCGTTAGACGCCTTTTACGACCAGCATAGTCGCCTTATACGGCAAGTGTGGGTTGCTGAAGACCTATTCTACCCCGGATCTTCACGGGTCATATAACTAAGTAAGTAAGTAAGACGAAGAGAGGAAAGTCTAAACCCTTCGCCTACCAAAGGTTTGGCGAGGTGCTTCAGGGCATCAAAACCCTTTGTAAATACCTACCTGTATAAACCAAACTTGTATAAAACCAGTACTATCAACTTGATGTCGCCCCCTACTGAGAAGACACCCCGATACTCTGACCCCCGATGTGATGTTAATTGCTTTCATGGACATTTTTTGTTATTGATTGTTAGTGTAATCATTTCTTATCATGTTCCATAATATTTCCCCCGCTACGTATGACGTCACGTGTACTAGCGAAGTGTTAGGTCACTTTGATGTCCTTGGATGTCGGATTTAAATAGGACGAGTTAATGTCATTGTTTAAAACACTGAACATCATGGTAGCTCATTGACACGATGAAATCATAAAACTATATATAAATACAACACAAATTCTTCCATAATGGCACATTTGGATAAGTATGCAAGAAATTCTTTTGATGTTAGATGAATATCTGGTTTTATCATGCTTGAATACGGCAATATCTCTTCGCGTCGCCTGACAATACATATCAAGGCGACGCCAAACATAGCACTGAGCAAACGTCCTGCAAACTATCATAAACAAATTAAAAAATAATAATAACATGTTATCAAATGCGATATCTTATTCAGTCTTTGACTGTTTTTAGGCACCGTTGGTGATCTAATTTTTTTAAATGTTCCCACTTTGGCCATTTGGACTTGAACAGAGATCTAATTGTTGAGATACTGTTGAGGTCCTGTGGTTCAAGCTGATAACGATTGCCCAACGTGTTGTTAAACTGTTCTGAATTCATATCATTTGATGAAAAAAGTGTTATTTCATATTGAACTTGTTTCATTCCTTGCTGCCACTTGATAGAGTATTAGAGCACCATGCGTCTAGGAAAGCCAATAGTCGGTTTTAGTCCAAATAAGGGAGATAACTGCACTGAGCCCCACGAGAAGGCCACTGTACGAGGACACTGATGATGAGGATGTCCGACATCTTAAGGCGTCAAATCTGTTAAAGAAAACAAAATTTGTTATAGCATGTGGATAATATCAGCACCACAATCTGTCTATCTCCTCCTCTCGTATCGTTATCTAAATGAACTATATCGATATGATCGTCACCGTCTACGAAACCAAACAATTCGAAGACGGGGA